CCCTACCCCCAATCCGACCACCAACTCTAACTCCACCCCCACCCAAAACAATCTGGCTCCAATTACCGTAGATTGGCTGAAATTCATGGCTTCTCATAATTACATGTATTTTGCCTTGAACAATGGCATTGTATTAATTAAGTTACATGCATGTACCGGTACTTGTACTTGTGTAATGCTGTGGGTCAGCATATACATGTAGGTGACAGGATGCTTTGAACCTCTGTTGGCAAGCATCCGGTCATAGCGTGTGTACCACATGTTACGCGTTGTGTGCACAACTTGACCATTTCCCTTTGTATATCCTTGATGAAATACAAATGTACAGTACATGTACTGTATGTGTATATATAGCGGTACTGTATACATGTGCATTGAAGGCCATTTCCCACAAGACCAAAGCTCGGGTGTTACCTCAGGGGAGCATGGGGGTGAAAATAAACTACATGTACGTTTCACTCTTCAAATTCTTACCGCTGTACTGTACCACTCTACTATTGGAAAATCAATCCTGTATCGCATATTGACTACAAACTTTTGTGCAAAATTTGTGACATGAATGCATGTTTACGATTTAACTGAAATATCTGCATAGTAATACTGTTTTCTGGGGCCAGAACTAAGATGAGGAATCAAGGGTCCGGTATCACCCAGTGTCACGTGACCCAGCCTGGAGGAATTCCTCCAGTTTTCCGGAAATACAGTATCCGAAATATTCTGAAGTCATTAGGCATGTTTGAATGGTACATGTACCGTTGACATTCGGTTATTCCCGGCCGGGTACATGTACATGTAGGTGGGCCAGCTTTTTCGGTGGCAATCTTGGCACAGTTTGTTACTGACACCTGTGGAAGATTAACTGCTGCTAAGAGTGCGCCATTTAGAGATGATAGTGACGACAGTACAGGTAACGCTGTGTCCAAGGACGAAAATCAATGCGGAAACGTCATGCAAAGCGCCCTCATAAGTCACTGCATTGCCAGCTGTGTTACTTTTCCCGGGGTCTCACTAACATTTTCCTGGATTAAAAGTCCAAGTGGGGACAGTGGTCGCCTGGGTTGGACTATTTTTTATTTGACCATCCTCTGGGTAAAACCCAGGGAGTGGGGGAAGTTGAGTGCAAACACAGCTTATGATAAAGTGATGACAGGAGGCTCAGCTGTCAAGAAGAGGAAAGATTAATTTGCTTGTACATGTTGGTGTTGCACAAAACTTCCTGAAACCAAACCCACTTCACAGTCAACAAGGACACCCCTTCCAGATCACAGGCTCTTGCGGTTAGTGTGGCTAGAAGTTCCCAGAACTTTACGCCACTGTGATCAACAAGGACAATTAGGTACATGTACATGCGTTACATGTGTACATGCAGGTCTGTGGTGGCTAATTTATCACGTTAACCTTGTATTACATGCATACATGTACATGTAGGTCATGCTTTGCAGTATGGTACATATACGTGTACATTACAAAATGTACTTGAACATGTACATGTACAATACTGTACTGGGTGTGTTTCAAAAGTTCTGTTCCACAGAGTCATTTGCTCTAATCATGGGGGTACATTCTACCTCCATGCTCTAATTCATAAGGAGACAGATGTTGCCAGTTAATGTTAGTGTTTGTACATTGCTGATCAAAGAGTACATGTATATAGTGATGTGAATTTTGCTCATGACTACTGTGCATTATACATGTATACATGTACATAGACATTTTGAGACTTGCTGTACATGTACATGTACAATGTACCGTGGTACATGTACGTTGCTGATCTGGTGAGTAAAAACCTATACATGTACACCCATGTACATACATTGTACACTGTACATGAGCACAAGGTTGAAACAAATCATTTTCTTAATTATAATCCTGTACAGGTGAATTTGAATTCCTTCATTGTTTCAAAAAATTTGTTTGTCATCACTCAAAAGTAAGGGAGTGATGAAATGGTCCATCATCCTCCCCAGTTATGTCAGGTGTACATGTACATGTATGTGGGTTATACATGTATCCCGTCCCCTCTCAACCATGATTTACATGTACACTCCGGTCAAACCCTTGGAGGCTTCGGGGTAACTCAGTTTATTTTTAATTCCACAGTATTAACTTGCGTACAGTAGTCACATGTAAGCTTCATGAAATACTTTCGGTTCCATTTGCACAGAGCTTTGAATATGAGAAAGCGGTTGCGGCTGCCTATACGTACGTGCAGTGGCACCAGGATGATGAAGTGATGCAGAACAACCTTGAGTATTACCGTAACCTACACGGCATCACAGAGGAACATCTGGTCGACTTGGAGGAGAGACCACACCATGTAAGTTACCAAGTTGTACATGTATGTACCGGTATGGCATGTCCTCTGATCTGTAACCCGCCAAATGCAACAAAAATGCAACACAACTGAAATAAACATATGCACGTAATCCAACACAACTGAAATGAGAAACCCTGCTTGATGCGACAGAATGCAGTGCAACCAAAACGACAACCAAGGCGATTGACACAGAGTTCAACTGAAATGAGAGCTGGATGTACAGGTACCAGTATGCTAAATGCAAAAAATGTCACCCAACTGAAATGGGACTCAAGCTCAACCCAACAAAATCCAATGCAACTGAAATGAGAATCCTGATAGATGCAACAAAATGCAGCACAATCGAAATCAGGACCCCGCCGGGTGCAACAAAATGTGATACAACTAAACTGACAACCAAGGTGATTGCAACAAAGTTCGGCTGAAATGATACCTACATGTATGCCGAATGCAACAAAATGCAACTTAAATATTCTACACATTTGAATTTAGAGCCTTGGTTAATGCAACTAAACGAAACAGCTGATCTGCGAATTGAAAGGGATTGAAAAGAAAATTATACAGAGCAAAACAGGCACTCTGTTGATTGACCAAAAACACAACACTCCGGAGATGAGACGCCTGTGACGTGCAATGAAAATGGACCACAGCTTCAGTGAGAACCCTGCTGAATGCAGCAAAATCCAGCACAGCTGAAATGAGATCCACAGTGAATGCAGTAAAGAGTTAAACTTGGCTGAAATGAGAACTCCGTCAACTAAAACAACAAACAGTGGACAAACCATTCTCCACCTACACGGGGGAATATTTGCCAGCTTACAATACGTGGGCATAAATTCCAGTGTACCCCTTTAAAGTGGAAAGTTGAATTTAGACAATGTCAGAGGAAATTGACCAGTTAGAAGTGTGAATACTTGACCCAAGAGAAGTGCAAAGGGTTACCATAGTCCTAACAGCAAGTGTACATGTACATGTAAACGTTAGTGGGTGTAACAAAGTAACTTACATATACATGTAGGATGTTCGCTCCGATTAAAGCCAATCAGGAGCATGGGTAATTCATGTTGGTGTCCGTGGGAAGGTTGTAAGGGGTGCTCTTGAATAGCAGAAATGCAAATTGCATGAAGCCATGATTGAATGTATCATTAGGAATTGATGCCCTCCTGGTACAGTCAACGTTTGAATGATCATGTACATGTATCAATTTGTAGGCCCTATTTGTAGTAGACAATTGGCTGAACAAAATTCACTGTACATGTACGTACCTTTAAATTTATATTCACAAATGACAAAATGTATTGAGCTTAGGAAGATTTTATCGGCAAAAATTTGCTTATTAATGCTGCCCTTCCAAAGATAACAGTAAACTTTTCTGACAGAGTAGTACAAACTCAACGTGTTGCTAGTGCATTTATTAAAAGCCAACAACTCCACCGCAGCCGCCGTCCTGTTAACTTGGGAGGGTGCCAAGTAACATTTCTCATCCAATCAAGCCTAAGAAATCATAACTGTCACAGAATGTTATTCAAGGAATTGCTTTCTGTCCACTGCTTTGGATTATAAAAGTCATATCTTGTTACACAGAGGAGAGAAGCAGAAACAAATAGAACCCCAAAATGCCTTGCAACATTGTCGGGCAATATTTGTATTATGTACAATGTCCATGTCATGCTGTGCATTGCGTGCATGTTCGTACATGCACTGATTTTTTCCCCAAAGCCATTGAATTGAAATGAGGTCATCAAATTTGTAGCTGTTTTCAAACACAGGATCGGAAAGCATTTTAAAAGCAGCCTCCTTGTTTGACCTCCTTTGGCACCCAAGCCAGATTCCCCGAAGTTTCTTTTCCCGTTGATATGCATGTACATGTACATGACAGTATTGCTCTGTACTTACCGGTACATGCAGGCAACCTGCAAGGCAACCCAACCTGCCCCCCTGGCATGGTGACAGCTACCTGTCGTACCCCCTGGTATGGTGACAGCTAAATCTGACCTTCACATCAGCAGGTGGTCCCTTTAGACCACATGATTCCAATGATGGTTAATCAGATTTTATGTAAGGTTGCAATGTGGATAATTGTGGTCATTATTTTGCAGTCTGGGAAAGTCCTGTTGAGAATAATATACATTGCAGTGGTTTTTTTTTACAATCGGTACATGTACACTTTACAGTACACGTACATTGGAAAGTTCATACACCCTACATGAGGATCTGAAAATTGACTGAATCATTCAAAAGTTCACACTGTGAATTGGAGTAAGAAATTTTGTGAAAAGAATTTGCATTCACGTTTGCATTTCACAAGGTGCAAAAACTTTTTTCACACTTGTATGAAATGAAATTGGTTTGAAAGATGTCTTCCCTGCTGGTGGGGAAAGTATGGACTTTTTTCCCATGGTGGCAAATTGTTTTCACATTCTTGAGAATTGAAATTGAACTCCATGGGAGAAAAACAAGTTTGGCAAGAATCTCCCATTCCCAATTTGAAAAGCACTGCACGTTTGTACACACGTACAAAGATCTTGGGACTTCGGTGAAAGTGACACCGCACCATACTAACTTCAGCCGCGTTCTTCTCCTTTTGTTTTGAAAACAGAAATATTTCATGGAGGGGTACAAAGCCTACGAGAGGGGTGATTTTGCTGCCGTCATCGAGAACATACACAAGGCTCTGGAGCATTACTGGAAAGTAGACGAGGAATGCCGGGCGTTATGCGAAGGAAAGTACGAGAACAGAGAATTCATGGACTTGTATGAAGCTATATCCAGTGAGTAATTGGTGGTTCCTGTACATGTACAATTGTAGACTTGTTACATGACCCTGTGAAGGAGGATTGCAGGGTACCAGCCAGCTCATTTTTAAAAACTGCCAATGTCCCAGCTAAGCACAAATTTTCAGAGCCACTTAAATGTGCATGTATACATGCAATGCTGAAGGTTAGGTTTTTCATATGAGTAAGGGAGCATTATGTAATTGTTGAAGGCGGTATTTACTGCGGTACCGCTGTTTTTTTTTAGCGGCACCGCACTAGTTACCCGAAAGGGCTTAATGCCGGTACCGCAAAAAAATCAGCGTTACCGCAGTACATGTAAATACCGCCTTCAACAATTATGAAACGTTCCCTAACTCTTGGTTATAACCAAAATTTACATTAATCATGTGCAGCATTTCATTGATTAGGTGGTACGCACAGAGTTTTATACGGTATAGAGTTGTGACATGAGTGTTTCAATTCTGGAAACAAAATGGCGGTTATCATGCACTGGTGCCATTGTGAACAGCCATTTTGGTTCCTGAGTCTGAGCTCCAGGCTCCTCTGTGGTGATCTACGTGTACATGTAGGTGTGCACAATTACAACTCTTCTTGAAACTCATGATCCGTTTTGCTTCACACATTTTTCTGCCATCGATTTGTCCAACTTGGTTTTGCACGCAATTCTAGATGTTTCATAATATTAAAATCTTTACAAAAAAGCTGAAAGTTCCAAAATTTTCTGCCAAAATCGGATTTTTTTTTCTTTAAATTTATTGTTGAAGCCATTGAACAGCCAATACACAAGGACATGTATTTCATAAGATTTTACATACTCTGTCAGAAGCCTAAAAATGTTTTAGAACAAACAACGGCACATCCGTCATTCGATGGATACCCTTTGGAACCAGTCCAGGCCGGCATTACTGTTCTCAAATTTGTCCAAACATGTTAATACTTGGCACGTGATGAAATTCCCTTCTAGAATCAGGACACATTCTGGAAATAAAATTCTGAAACATGTGTATACACTCATGTACACTGGTTCGCATTCATGTGATTTTTGCCAATTACGAGAGCGAAACCACAGTAGAGCTCTCGCTGATACACCCACAAATGTTTAATTCTGGTTTACCTGGAAACCACAGGTTGCTGGGCCTGAATTCTCCATTAATGAGGTCTGAGTTCATATTTCTTACCCTGGACTAAAGAGGCCTTCATCATGTTTATCTGCAGTTTGTTCTTGGATCCATCGATATCATTATGTGTTTGTACTAGTAATTTTTGATCATTGTCTGCAGTTTGAACCTGACAAACAGTTGACAACTTTTATGGATGAGTCATATTTATTTCATACTCTACCCGGGCACCGGCAGCGGAACAATAATTTTGGAGGGAGGGTGGCAGTTGTTAAACCATCAGGCATCAGCCATCAGTCCATTGAACCCCACCCAGTTATAGGTCCTGCAAAATGTTGGGGGGGAGGTCAGGCCCCCAGTCAAAAAAGGGGGAACTGCCCCCTCCCACCAGCATTCTTGCCTCCAGCCCCAAGTAAAACTTTAGCATTATGTGATATACTGAAGACTGCACTGTAAAACCTTCGCCCATTCACCATTTGAAACAGATGCTCGCGGCCGGCAAATTTTAAATAATTTGCAAATTTTGCAGCATTGGGTTATCAGCCAAATTATGCAGTACATTTGCTTATGACAGGTGACTTGTTCTCAGCCGTTTTTGTAAGGGTCTGACCAAGTCTGGACACCTGTAAGCTTTTTTTTTGGGGGGGGGGCTGCTTTGCACTTGTACATGTACCTGTGCATAAAAAGTGTGTATGAGGGGGGAAATGTGGATGAACAGCAGGCATTTTCTGGCCATTTTCCTGAATGTCTGAACTGATCAGTCCATCACCTGGCAAGCCAGGTAAAGCCGATGAAGAGTGGCAGCACATTTTGGCACCGTCTTCATTCTCTGTACCACATTAGATCTGACAATTAAGGCAAATAAGATGTATAGACACAGAGTAGACACCCAATTTCTGACTTGAATAAAAAGCTAGAGCCTAGGGGAGAAGGGGAGTTCTACTTTGATTCCAGACAGTAAAGATTAGTGTGTTTGGAAGGCTTGATGAAGCATGCATTCCTACTGCGCAACCAAAGGATCAGATTTCCTACCTGTCTAGCCAGTGCTTACATCATACATTTCCCTACCTGCTCCCATTGCCTTGAATAAACAAGCACCCTGGTGAGCCTAATACAAATACAGCAGTGATCAACCTGCAGACTAGAGTGTTATCCTTTCACAGCCCAGTCCACACCCTACCACCTCTTGTCAAGATAGTGATAGGTCCTGGTTAAATTACGCTTATCAGCAGAACCCAACACCCTGTAATCACCATTTAGTGATTCTGGGCCTGCCTAATGGTCTGGATTGTTTTCTGTTGCTTGGCAAACTGAGGAAGCTTTCGACTGAAAAAAAATGTAGCCAAGGGATGTATCATGAGTCACAGCTGGGTCCTGGGATGGAATACACATGATGACTAGTCCCTTTAAGTTAATTGTGCTTCAGTGGATATCCTCTTATGGTGCTCATATGTTGGCCAATTAAGTTTTGATTTCCATGTATTGGACAACATGACAAAACAGCCCTTGCATTTGTGTCAAGCACTTCAATATACACTGTGCATATCTGCAGTGAGATCCAACTTTGGAATCGGAACCAATATGGAGTGCTTGCATAGAGATTGTCCTATCTATGTTGTGTAAACATACAAAATTTTCCCATCCCCAAAAGTCTTTTGGGATGGTCGACCATCGGCAAGTTTGGGATGAAGCAACCAACGTCCAAGCACAGAGGTGCCCAGTACATGTAGAAACATCCATGTGATACTTATGATTCTGAAGTTGTAGTATACAGTGCACAACAGTAATACCGCTAGGTTGAAGAATCTTGTTACAATGTACTAACAATTGGAAGAGTTAAATTGTACATGTAAGTACATGTACATGTACTTGTACATGTATCATTTTGTGAGGTGTAATGATCAATCCTACAAGCCCTCTGAGATCCTTTAAATCTTCCGGAGACTTTAGAGGATTTTTTAGGATTTAAAAAAATATTAGCATTATCCTGTAAGATTTGAAGCTTTGCATGGTGGAAGTTACATGCGATGTAGGCTTGCGGGTACACCGTGGAATCAATCCCTTTTTTGGAAGAGGTGTGGTTCTTAGAAGAACGGGTGAGTGTTGACTCGACGTTTTGGCCAGGATGCTCTGGCCGCCCTCAGGAGAGTGTGCCGAACTTGAGCATTATCCTGCATGACGTACATGTACATGTACACTAAGTATACATGTACAGTACATGTACATTGAACAAGTGCAGTGTACATGTACATGTACATTCACACGTACGGTACATGTACATGTGCAAATGTGCGCATTCTTGCTGCAGTGGGCATGACAGCCAGAATGTATCTCTCTCAAAAAAAGTTATTCATAGGGGGCCAAAGTGCATAGAATGAGCAAGAGTATCTTCCAACATTTACAAAGCATTTTTGAGGATATCCGAAGGTCCCCTCTGAGATTGCAGAGGGGATGAACCAAGTCTGATGAGACCCTGAAATGTCGGTCAAATGCAATGCAGATGTCTGCTTAATGTGCCAATTTATCATCCGGATGGGAAATTTGTGAGGCTGTCTTTGACTGGCAAGGTGTAAAAGGTTAGAACATTTGTCTGTCTTCAGCGAATTGTACCAGACAGGAAGGAGGGGCTGCGCTTGTAAGCCAGACGTTGATTTCCATGTTTGGTCTGGACTGAAGTTTTATCATGCTCAAACTGCTGAGCACATACATGTATGTGTGAATCTCTATTGCCCCATTTGGTAATTGATTGGTGGAGATGGGTCCAGTGTTAGCATTTTTGGTTTGCTTTACACATTTGGTGACAGAAAAAAAAAGGAACAAGTTTTGGGAGTGGATGCTGTTTGTAAATGGCTCTGGTTTTGTTGATGTTCGTTGATTTTACTTTGGTTCAACTTTTTTGGTGTTGTGCAGTTTGTTTTTTCAGCTTTTCCTTTAAAGGTTCAAGTTCAAGATGTTTTTATTCTTTTATGATACTTGCAGCAGAGTTGCTGATTCAAGTCATGTGACTTGGGCTTGTTTCGGAGTCAAGTCGCTACTTTTGTGACTTGACTTGTAAATACCAGCTTTGACTTGTGACATGACTTGCACTTGCAAAAAATGACTTGTGACTTGACTTGGACTTGCAAAAAATGACTTGGGTTGTTACCAACCCAAGTCAGATGCTACTTGACCGGCCCCATATATTTTATAACTCGTAATTCCATAAATTGACGCCTGGTTCTTTTTGCTTAGTACAGCTGGACAAAGTAATGTGCAGTTTGACTTGTATTTGGACAAAAGAGACTTGTGACTTGACTTGTGTTTAGACCAAATGACTTGTGACTTGACTTGACTTGACTTGCCCTGTGAGCAAATGACTTGTGACTTGACTTGTGACGCAACCTAATGACCTTTGACTTGGCTTGGACTTGCAAAAACTGACTTGCTGCCATGTCTGACTTGCAGTTACCAATTTGGTTTGGAGATGCACCTGTATTTTTTGTTTTTGCTTGTTTTCAAATCAGTGGAACCATGGAGCTACATGTATAAAATAGCTCCATGGTGGAACCAACAGGTGAAAGCAATTTACCGCAGTTCAGATTCAACAAATTCTCACTTAATTTTTTCCAGCGCAGGCAGCTTTGTGAAACTTCTATTTCTTATGATCTGCCTTAGTTCGCCAGAGAAAACATGCACACATTGTCTCAAAAGAAATGAAAATATTAATGCAGTAGTTATGCAGTGCACATGTACATTTCTGGCCTTGAGGAGTGCCTCCAGAAATGTCTCTATGTAACTCACCAATTGTGACCCGCTCTGCAAAAATGAGTCACATGTCACCAGAGCCACTTTTGAGTTAAAGGCCTTTAAAAGAATCTTGCACAGTGCTCAAGCAATAGGAATCCTCAACATCTACACAACATCCATTTTCATCATACCGAACCGAGTGACACATCAAAACTAAGAGCTCAAACTCAATCTAATGCAAAGTAAAACTCAAAAGTGGCTCTGGTGACTTGTGACCCATTTTGGCAGAGCGGGTCACCATTGGCTGTCTCTACCACTTCCCATCTTTTCCATTTCTATCCAATGAAAAGTTCAAATACTACAGTCAGACAGTGGAACACTGTTTTAACAAAGTTATTATTACAAAGTCCTCGGAACTTTGAAAATTACCTTAGTTATCTTGTAGTATCAGAAATGGAAAAAAAAGATAAACAGAAATTTTGGATCTAACATTTTCCATGTTATAAATTAGGCCTTGTACTGTATTCGACTGTTCTAAATAATGTTCCCACAACCACTGTTTCCACAATACTTCCAGCATGTCTGGAAGTTACAGATGTTCAAAAGGAAACAAGTACTGGTTTCTCACTGACTATAAAATGAGAGAGGAAGGCAGTTGTTTCATTGGTGACAAGTCTATTCAGAATGCGGTTTGGAAAGAAAAATAACACTGAGAGGAGTGAGATCTCTCTCTCTGCTTTTTAGCTGATTTCAGCTTTTTTTGTTTTGGATTTTAGCTTTTTTCCCCACTTTTTTTGTTTTAGATTTCAGCTTTTTTCCTCACTGGTTGTGTACAAAAGTATCAGAGATTTTCACAGTTTAGCTTCCTTATGCCTTTTTTCAGTTGTTTTCAGCTATTTTTTATCGTTGGTCAATCTCACCCCTGCGCTGATTATCTGACGAAACCTTCCTGTGTGTGTTTGTGTGTCAGATCACTTTGCCTCTGTCTTGTACTGCAAGAGCCAGTGTGAGGAATGGAACTCCCGAATGAAAGGGACCGTCATCGATAACTACCTGCCGAATCACTACCATTACCTGCAGTATGCATACCACAAAGGTAAGTGGAAGATGATCACTAGCAGACCACTGCCTGCTGTGTGTGCCTACACGTACATGTATGCAGAACCATGTTAAGAACATACCACTTCAAAGGGACTTTTTTTGTCTTACAAGTTTGATAGTTATTTTATCATTACTAAATGACTTTATTAAGCACAAATTCTATTCAACAAATATATTTAAATGCACTGTACAACCAATAACAGAAAAATAAACTTGTGTAATATAAAAACTTATTAAAACTCAAAAGATGCAGAAAGACTAAAACATTAATTTACGGTTACACAGAGATATTAAAACAAAATGAATTAAATATACAGATATCAACAGGACATCAAAGCAGTCACGAAGGAATGCAGTAGTTCATGTAAATCCACTATTGATCGTCGATCATACATGTTAGTATTATTGTTATTATATATTTCTGGTAATGACACCAAGGATTCCTCAAAAGCCCCCTAGGCACTGTAGCTCACAAGCCTGAAGAAACCTGTCGAGAGGAGACAGTGAGAAGCAGTTGCAGTATTAGAAGTGGGAGGAAAACCCCAAAGGAATATTTTGGGTAAAACCCATGGAATCAGGTAGGGACTGAAAACCCAATCCACATGTGGACCAGGCCGGGATTCGAACCCGGGGCGCAGAGTACATTGTGACATTCTTTTGAATTTCCATCAGTTTTGGTGGGAAGACTTGACATCAAGTTGCCTTGCATCAGTTTAGAGTTCCGTTTAAGCATGCATTGAGTTTCACCCTCTTTCTCAATGTCTCCACTAACATTGAAACAGAGGGTAGAATGACAGAGGCAGTGAATGCTGCGGCCTCATTCCTGGCTCTGGTACCCAACGACCCCACAATGACCTCCAACATGCATTATTACGAAGACGAGGAAGGGGTCAGCAAGTACACCGTCCAGCCTGCTGATGAGGCGGTGGCGTATCAGCGACGCAAGGACCTGGAGCAGAAGATGCTGCAGTTTGCTAAGCTCCACTTCTGGGGGGACGAGGACCAGGAGGTAAATAAGGAGGAGACCGAGGAAGAAGGGAAGGGGGCGGAGGGAGATGGGGAGGGGGCGGAGTCAGATGGGATGGGGGCGGAGGGGGAAGGGAGGAATGAAACTGCTGGGAAGGGTTCCGATTCATCCCCAGTTGCTGACTCAGGGAGCTCCACTCAGGAGGGATTAACTGGGGTGGAAATTGAAACGGAAGGGAAGACTGGTAGTGATGAGTTGTAAAACACTGTACGGAGGCTTTTGAAAATTGCATTCTTGGGGTTACTCTGTTACTCTGCTGGGTTGAGG